TGTAATAGTTCGAGTAGCGCATGCAGGCAGCGCACCTGCGAAGCAAGGGGCAGGGGGAGGCTTCCTGCTCCCAGCACCCCAGCGAGCGATGCAGCCTGTCCTGGTGAACCCCATGGCAGAGACTGTCTGTGTGGATCATCTACCTTTTCATTAATTAATGTTTGACCGGAGCCAAAGCAAGCCCAGCCGGGGTCTGTGCTGGGGATTGCCCCGACCCTCGGGCAGGACCGTGCCCTTGGCCTTGTGGAACTCCACGAGGTTTGCAGGTCCCCCCTCTCCAGCCCGTCCAGGTCCCTCGGGATGGCGCATCCCTGCCCTCAGCGTGTCCCCGCACACACAGCTCGGGGTCGGCGGGGAACTTGCTGAGGGGCCTCGATCCCGCTGTCCGTGTCATTAATGACGATATTAAACAGTCCTGGTCCCAGCCCCGAGCCCTGAGGACGCCGCTCGTCACCGCTCTCCACTGGGACATGGAGCTGCTGACCACAGCTCTGAGTGTGGCCATCCAGGCAGCTCCTCGCCCCTGAACACTCCACCCATCAAGCCCATGTCTCTCCAATTTAGAGACGTGGATGTCATGCAGGACAGTGTCAGACATGCAGACGACATCAGTTAATCTTCCCCGATCCACCAGCGCTGTAACCCCATCACAGAAGGCCATCAGATTCCTCAGGTACCACTTGCCCTCGGTGAAGCCATGCTGGTGGAGGCATCACCTGGGCTGGCTCTGCTGGTGTCTGCTGCCGGCCTGGGCCCCGGGGGCTCTGAGGGAAGCCGGGGGGCTGGTAGCCCTGTGGGTGGGGAGGGCAATTGGAGAAGGGGAAAGAAGAGTATGAGAAAATTAGAGCGGGAACGGCAGAAAGATGCTGCGTTCACATTTTGCGGTAGTTGTTACGTGTCTGACGGTGGGCTGTGCACAGCTGACTGTCCGTGCAGCTGGCGCGGTCTCTGCCTGGCAAGCACAGCGTTGGTGAGCTGAAAGCAGGAGAGCACTCTGTTTCATACACTGTAATGTTACCAGTTCTTGAGTGTGTATTGCACTGCAGTGGTTCAGCTCCTTGTGAAAAGAAAAAAAAGGTTCAGCGCACAATTTATTCCTTATCTCTAACAGTATCTTATTGCTGCCATAGTTTCTTAAATATTGATCAGATCAGCTTTTGCCCAAGTAATCAAAAGCAAAGAAAATTTGTTTTGCTCCAGTTACTTGCAGACACTATCATACTTTTACTTTCTTTCAGAAAAAAAAAAAGAAAAAAAAAGGTCAAATGAGTAAGTGGTAGTTCCTTCTTTCTAGTAAAAGATAGGTTTGTGAGATTTGGAGGTGTAGTTAACGTGGTTGTATGTTACATACTTTTTATAAACTTTGGTAACAGGGCGAAGCAAGTCCCCTTTAGTACAGAGTACCAGCTGCCAGTGGAGCTTCCTAAATAGCATTTCTTGAATAATTTTTAAACTTGTTTCCTGATTCTTTGTTCCGTAAAGAACAGGTTGATTATATAGAGAAGAAAGACTAACCCAGACTAAGTACAGAAAGCTGTTAAGGTAAAAGGAATGAACTTGGTTTTCACTGGGGCGTGTGAGTTTGGGTGCTGTGTGTAGCTGGAACAGCAGCTGTGGACACAGGAGAGCTTACTCTGTGGGGGAGCAGGTACCTCTGGGGGCAGGTTTCCAGTGCAGACACAGTCTGTGCTGCTGAACCTGAGACGCTGCTTAGAGCCACGTAAACTGAGGTGGGGACGTGACCCACAGACCTGCCTCTGTTAGCTGCCTGCTTTGGGCCCCTTAGAGCTCATTCACCAACCACCACAGCCACAGGTACCTGTATGGAAAGAAATGCCGAGCCTGCCTGAAGAACTCTAAAATGTTATTCTCCCGACTGGTCTCAGAGAAGCTATTTTGGCAGCACCTGCAAAAATACAAGACTAAAAGTCTGTGTTGCAGATTGCATGTAAAGGTGTTTTGCCAGTTACCAGGCCTGGCACAAAGGACAGAGCCAGCAAGATGAACCCATAACCAGACTGTACTGGACACAACAGGGTCAGTCCATGGGTGAGCGCTGGGGGCACAAACAAGCCTATCAGGTCATACATCATCGACATCAATCCCAACGGCCCCAACAACGACACCGCACGACCAGCACTGGGGCAATAAACAGGGAAATAGAGTCTCCCAGAGAAGGGACGGGAGACAACCAGGGCAACAGCCCAACACAAAGACCAAGGCAGCCCCATCACGAATCTCTACAGAGCCCGCGTTTACAAAAGCCAGAGCTGAGCGGAGCCCAGTCCCAGGGAGGCGGGAGGTCCTTCCCCAGCAGGGAACTCTGCCCAGGGCATCCCCCTCACAGACAGACACTGCCCCTCCTGCCAGGGGTGCCCGCTGTTCTCCCTGCGTGGGACCCCTGACCTTGGGTCACTCCCTGCGGGACCCCTGGGGCTCCTTTACCCAAGGGCTCTGTCTGCAAGGCCGCCCCACCCTGGGGGGAAGCCTAAAGGGAAACTCACCCCCCTTGGGAAGGGCTGGGGGAATCACCCAGGTGTCAGCCTTAGTGTGGGGCTGGGGGTGACACCCCAGCAGTTCAAAAAGCCAGTAATCTCAGAGCCAGATCTGTAGTGTGTGGTAAAACTGAAAATAACCCCCTCATACGTTGTTTGGCTGAAGGGTACATGGTTTTTCACTTTTTTTTTCCATGGAAATACTTAAGGTTTTCTCTTTTTTGGGGGGTGTCCTTTTAACAAGTACTGTCAGTGAAGCAATCCTGTAAATTATACATACATATAAGAAGTACAGAGGCATACGAATACATGTGTGGAGTCCTCTGAGTGGTTTTACCTTCTTTCAGTCTGGCAATCACTCTTCTGTATAATGTTTTTGTCCTGGAGGGATGCCTAACAAATGAAAGACCAAAGGGACAAACAGATTCTGCTAGTCCTTTGTCATCTGTGGCACCCATGAGAGAATGCCAAATGTTCTGTGTTCCCAAAACAAGGTTCCGATGGGAGCAAAGGGAGGGAGCTCGTTTAAAATGAAATCTTTTACTGTATCCTATTTAGCCAAGATAGATTACTGCTGATAATTAAAGAAATGTCTTCTTGCCCTCAGGGTTTCCATTCTGTATTCCTGTAGTTATTGTGAAGCTCTGTGAAGAAGCTTAGTCTTTTATTGCTCCTTTCCTGTCTGGAGCTATTTCTCTGGTAGCTCAGTAATTACGTTGGTCATATCTACCCATCTGCCTCGCTGACTGCTGTGTGACTTACTGGTGATACCCTTACTGCGCCTTACTCAGATTTTTATGAAAGGTGTACTCCCATTTCTAGGAGAAAAATAATTGTTATCTTAATTTCCCATACTTTTCTAATCATTGTTTACCCTTCATTTGGATTTTTGAGATCTTAAATCAATTAATTGTATGGCTAAAAAATACCTTACTGCTTCCTTTGTTGGGGGGGGCCAGAAAAGAATACTCATACATTTCATATATGTATGTGTATAGGTATATACAAGATGGTTTATTACTGTCTTTAAAATGCAGAAATACAGAACAACCTCCATTAAACCTATTTAAACCTTTTCCTGCTACAAATTACAGAGAGACTTCAGTGGATCTCAGGTCTCTAGCCTATGTTTTATGTTCCTGGTTCTTTTGTAGGACGATCTCTGGGGCAGCTGAATGAATCAGTTACAGTAAAGCTCTTAGCTGGGGAATCTTTACCTAAGCTTGCTTCAGTTGCTGGAGGGCTGGCAGGTATTCAGTGAAATAAGTCAGTCCTGAAGATGAGAATGACCCTGTGGTGAGGCAGGCAAGTATGCGCTGTGACAGCTTCGTGCTGTCCCCCGCCTGCTTCTGGCAAAGCCCAGCAAATGTCCTAAAGCATCATTTTCATGGGCAGGCTCATACAGAAAATGTTCCCTGTTCTGAGAGCCAGATTATTAGAAGGTCCCAAAGACTCGGGAGACCTGCTGGAGTCAGTCCACGAAGACGGCTGAGCCGCAGGGACGGTGTGGCCTGGGGAATGCGGCCAAGTCCTCGCTCAGAACTCTGCTGCTTCTGCCTCTGCTCCTGTTCCTCCTGGTCCTGGCCACAGCAGGCCTTCTCTCAAGTGAGGATGAGGAGGTTTCTTACAGCTTTTTTGATGACCTAATGGAAATTTTGGAGACACTTATGTTTTCAATTACATTAGAGAAGTGATAGCCTTTACTGACATTAGAGAAGCGATAGTTAATGCCGATCGCTTGCTGCAGTTACCAGAAGAAATTTTGATGGTGATAACTGGATTCCATCCTCCTGTAGAAAAAACTTGTGTCTTGCCACCTGCTGTCTTGGAATATACACAGCTGACCATCCCCTTTTGTGGTGAAAAAGCACCTGCAGCGGCTGAGCACTGCCCGTGCCCAGCTCAGACAGGACATCACGTCTGCCTTCATCAGCAGAGGCAGGGTGACATTTTTTCCCAGCTTGCTGACTGTGACCGAGGATTCCCTCCGGCCCGAGGGCCTGCCTGAACCATCTCAAATGCTCGAAGACTTCCAGGAGCAACACTTGAAAACGTGGGGTTTGTGACTGGACAGGGCGTGGTGAGGGAGTTCTGCATTTCCCCCCGCTTGCCTCTCTGGTTCGTGAATGCCTTTGGCCCAGTCAGACTTGCTGACGTCCCTGCGTGCTCTCTGCTGGGAGAAATCTCTGTGGTATTCTGTGCTCCATTTTCCAAAGTTAGGGAAATTCCTCTTCCTCCTTGCCCAGGGAAAAAGAGCTTTGTGTTCTGAGCTGACTTTCCACAAAACTCATTTACCAGCTGGTCTTCTCAACACCAGCCAGAATTAATAAGTTAGTGGGACTAGTCAGGATAGTTAAGCACAAGTTTAGCCACTTATAAGATTAGAGGGAAGGGTGGAAGTCTGTGGCATGGCCCGAACACATTGTTCATGCAACTTTTCATATGTTGAGTGTGACTCGCAGGCTGGGGCCTTGCTCAGTCGCTTCCCTGGTGTTGGAGCAGAGCAGCGGGAAGCTCTGCTGCAGAACCAGTTTTAAACAACCAGAGTAACTGTTGCCCAAGACTTGCAAAAGCAGCAGATGATTTTTAGTTGGTCCCATCCTTGGATGTGAGAGCCATGACAGATTTTAATTTTCAGAGATGTGAGCCTCTCCCGTTTAGAGTGGGACACTGGTAAAGTGTCTCAAACTGGATCCAGTCCGAAACTTGCAACTGGAGAGAGCTCTCAGGATATTTTTAAGCATTTATCTTTTGTTTCAGATTTAAAGGTGTCATTTAACAAATATTTTTTAAGAGCATTTCTGGTTCCTGAAC